CAAAGAGCATCTAATTCCATAAATCCCACTTAAAATTTATTTGCTATCAAATGCAATCCTTTTAATCACTTGACCCCTTTAGAACATGCATGGGTCCGTCCAAATGGTATTTGTGAATGTTTCCCAACTACTATAACCATGAAGTAACACCCAGCTCTCAGTCTGACCCCAGCCTAATGTACTCTCCTCCCCCAAATCAAAATACCATTTCTCATGTCATCACATTTTCGTTCATTACTTCTCTGTGATAGGCCCAACAAATCAGCACTCATTTTGCAAGAACAATGCTGTGAGCTGCCATGGCAAATAACATGTTATTTATATCTATATTTTGGCACCCTGGGCATCTTTCAGCTTATTATCTATTTAGTAGGAAAATTAAAATGATAATCCAACATGAAGTCAATTTTGAATTGTCTTCTTACTCGACCATCCTAATTTGTTAGGAGCAGAAAATATTTTATTTCAACCATTAGCAAAGACATCTTGGCTGCACGTTTTTCAGTTCCAGTGCCCAAGAAAGAAAATCAGTCACCTATAAGCCCATCTTCCCATCTCCTTCCCCTAAGACTGACGGAGAGGGATTGCTAGTTAAACAGAAATGAACAGCTTGGATATCACCCCCAACCCAGCACAAATAGGTCAGGGTGAATTTGTGAGTATAAAGCAATTGGCTTAAGCGTGTTTATTTTTTTACACCTTTTAATCCTTCCCCCACCCCCCCACCCCACCCCTCATATCTCTTGTCCATTTCCCATAACCTCCTCCTGAACCCCGGAGCACTCAGTAAGCTTAGCTGTCCTCTGGTTTATTTGTCAAAGGCTCTATCTCCTCTTTTTTCCTAAGAAGAATCCTTATTTTTAAAATGCACATTTTCTTGTTCGTGGTGAACAGATTCTTTCTTCCAAGGCTCAATGGTAGATTGATAGAAAAGGATAGATTATGGCCCATAACATATATGCAGCTCCCTCACTGGAAATACACCAGTTCCTCTGGGCTTCCCCAGCGCATCTGGCTACACAGACCTGAGACTTCTGTCTCAAACCACCACTGGACTTGGACCACACCCAACAAAAGGAGACTTGAATTGCTTATCCAAAGAATCAAATCCAAGGTCTAGTTGGCTCCTATGGGGACAAGGTCTTCATTTGGGCCTTTAGCACCCAACATTACTTTCCATAAGTTCCCAAGACAAATCTGCTCACACCAGACCTGCCTCATAGTTCCCTTCATCCTCCTCTCATTTCACCACAGATAAGCCTCACCTGCCCCAACTAGCAGCTGCAACCAACATCTCATCCTAAAGGCCTGTGGTTTGTATCTCTTACTACCTTTTCATATGAGGGTTATCTCCCACTCAACTACACATTTTAAAGTGTCAGAACCATGGTTTAGTTACCCTCAAATCTCCCCATAGAAAGCTGACACCAGCTTTTATTCACAAACTGCCCTGGACATGTGAATGTTGGTAACAATGACATTAGGAAATGAGAATGAGCTGGGCTCTGCAGCCTTATCATCATCATCATCATCATCATCATCATCATCATCCATCACAAAACCCTGGTGCCTGAAACCCTGCCCAGTGCTGTTCAGAAGAATGCATTTCTCAGAACCACAGATTTACTCAAACTGCCATATTTAAACCAAGTCAAGTTCTTTTTTAGCTTTGTGTTCATAACCAGATACAGTTGCTTCATTCAGTCTGCCACAAGGGAAGGAAGGGAGAGGAAGAGGAAGTGAAAAAGATGATGACAATCACACACACACATACATGCACTGCAGTGATAGAGGGCACAGACATTTATGCCCTTATGTGTAATAACGGCCAGAAATATGTCTCCCAGAGATGCCTCCAAGAAGCTAACCAGTCTTCGCCAGAAAGCTGAAGCTCCCTAGGCTCCTATAACTCAGGACATTGAAGTAGTCGTGTGGTTCATCATAGTCATCCTCCCTCTGCTCTCTGCACAGGCTGACAGGTGCAGCTTCTGCCTGGCCACAACTTCCAGGGGAGGACAGACTGGGGGGATTTCCATTCTCCTGTTCTGATGCCATCCTCCTGGGGTCTCTTTCCATGGCATGGGTTCTGAGGGAGTTCTTCTAAAAACAAATGTTATTAAACAAGTGTTATTCAAACGTTAATTCTCCGCCATGATATTTAGTCACCATGACCACTCTCTTCCATTCACACACCCACACACAGAGGCAAAGTTGTGTATTAACAAACACCAATGCCTTAACCCTTCAGTTCTCCACCTTCTCACAGCCAGACTGACCACACCACTGAAATGACAGGACATGTACCACTGTGCTGGCTGCTTCTCCACGCTTCTTCACGCTCGACCCCAGGCTCTCACCCTTCGTTGCATTGCACACTGTTGATGTCCTCCTTTTTGAAGCATTCTCCTTCTCTGGCTTCCATAACATAGCCATCTCATGGATCCTCCTTTAAACCCTCACCTTCATCTTCTGCCAGGCTTGATCTTTATCACTTCACACACTAGCTCCCCAAATAAAGAGGTCCACAATTTCTTCATGTACTACTCTCAACAATTCACTTCATTCATAGGTACCTATAAACACTATTTGTCCCCTGAAATTTCCCAAATGTCTGTCTAGACAATTAAAGGCTCCTGCCCTAAGTTCCAGGCCCAGTCATATCTATCCCCCTCTTTGCTAAAGTACAGCTTGTTCATACTACCAGGAAAGCAATCTTGAAAACCTGTAAGTTGGTCACACCTGCTTCTACCTAAACCTTTCAATGGTGCCCATTTTCTGTAGGATTTTGAAACCTCTTTTAGGGGCATGGATAGATGTAGGAGTTGCATGAAAAATATTGTATAAGGATGCACTCTTCTGGCAGGACAGCCCCTAATATCACTACCTTTCCCACAGAAGACTGTGATGCTTCTAAAATATCCATCCCAGCAAATCACTCCTCCCCAGAATTCACTTATCAGATTCTACTTCTGGGTACTAGCCTTAGAAAACAGACTCTGAGGAGGCAGTTGTGAAGGGAGAATCCCCAGTGGCTGGAAGGAAATACAGACCTCACCGTGGTGGAAATTGGAATGGGATTCTGAGCTGAAGCTCTGACTTTTGACTTGTGAGTGAAATCGTGATTATTAGGACTGTGGGAATGGCTGGTCTTTGCTAAGTTCCACTGATGCACTAAAGAGAGAACGTGGCAGGCTCAGCTACCTAAAGCAAAGTGAGAGTCAAAGTTCCTCTTGGCAGCTTTCAAAGGAATACTCATCTCTAGCGCCAAAGATCAAGCGTGGGACCTAATCAGAAAATTGGATTCACAGAAGTCTGAACAAGTCTTTTATACCCAACTGAGTGCCCTGATTGGAAAGAAAGGGTCTCTATGATGCGGGAGGTGAGTCTCTGAGTAGGTGCACCTGTCTCTCTCATATCAGCTGGAGCTGCAGGAGTGACCCAGTTTCCCTTAAGAAAGATAGGGCCCTGGCCCTCCCTGGTGGAGCAGCCGGTTAAAGCACAGCACTAAGAAGCTAAAGCCACTTCCACATGAGTTCGATCCATGCCCGCCCCAGAGGTGGCCCACATGACGCAGTAGACCTCTCCTGACCTGCTCACTGCTCCCCTCAGCAGTGTACTTCGTTGATCTGCCGGTTCTGCTCTCCACTCTGTCTCTGGTGAATCCTCTCACCACCTCTGCACCTCTAGCCTGTACCCCAGTTCTGTATGCATAAATAAATAAATCACTTCCCCTACCAACTATCAACCCCATAAATATCAAATATCAGTGTCAAATATCAGCTCCACCAACCAAAGGAATTCTGGGCATGCCAAGAGAGGAGAGAGATTATAACTGAAGGACCTGGTTAGCATCTCCCTACAGGAACTGGAAACATGTGTCTGAGAGTGAATCCTGAGGACAGGGGACCCAAGGTGGGCAAGAAATAAGATAGGTGAGGAATCATTTACCAGTATTGGGACAGATTCCATGACTCGAGTTAACGCCCTTACAAAGTGCTCAAAAGAAATATCCAATACACTGTTGTCATCAGAAATGACACCACTGATGTGACAATAAATGTGAAAAAGCTTCAGAAAATTGGGAATGCTATAGTGGACCTATGCAAAACAGTAAGAAACACACACATTGTTCTCTGTGCCTGGTTCCTGATATATTGTTTTTGACCCCATTTACTGACAAAGAGTTTCTTCAGCCCTTGTAATTTCCTGTCTCCTTTGATAATTTCCTATGTGATAGGAGTATCTTTTGTTTGAGCAAGGCAACTTTTTGTGGCTGGTTCTTCTGTAGGCCGGTCATGGATAAATCAACCCATGAGGAGAAACTTGGAACTTCCAATCTCACCCCTGATTCTCTGGAGAGAGGAGAGAACTGGGAAATGAGTTAATCACTACTCACACCTGCATGAATAGTGTCCAAAGTACAGGCCTCAGAGCATTTCTGGGTTGCTGAGTATATCTGTGTCCCAGAGAACATGCTCCCTGTATTTAAAATCCTTCCAGAACCTCACCCAAATTGACTCCTTTATTTGGCTGTTCATTGTGTCCTATATCATAACCTTATTATACAGTAAACCAGCAAATGTAAGCAAGTATCTCTCTGAGTTTATGGATAAAGATTTCTTAACATAGTACCTAAGGAGGGGGTGTGGACAACCCAATTTACAGCAAGTTGGGACAAACAGGTTATCTGAAGTGAGGGTAGTTTTGTAGGACTGAAACTTTATCTTGTGGAATCCAACACTTACTCCAGGCAGATAGTTTCAGAACTGAATTGAATTGTTCAGACACCTACATGGTATAGGAAAATTTGTCAGTGCAAGGAAACACCCCCCCCACACACACACACACATACACACAGTGTCAGCCATATTCTGCAGAATGCTAAAGGTAGAAATGAAGAGAAAAGGCCAGTTTTTCCCAATACAATCTATTAAATCAGGTTTTGGCAAACTAAGGCCCCCCAAGGGTCAAATCTGGCCCACCGTGGCTTTTTTGCACTGCTCCCAGGCTAAGATGGAGTTTACATTTTTAAGTGGTTGGGGAAAAGCAAAAGAAGAATAATATTCCCCGACACCTGAAAATTGCATACAATTCAAATTTCAGAGTTTATAGATAAAGATTTCTTGGAACACAGCCATACTCATTCCCTTACATATTGTGTGTAGTGCTTTCACACCACAATGACAGACTTGAACTGTTGCAACAAAATCTAAAAGATTTACTAGCTGGTCCTTCACAGAGAGACTCTGCCAATCCCTATACTAGACAAATTTAAAAATCCAACAGCTGATTTTGTTTCTGGGATGACCCCTAGGATACACTTTTACTAAGGTAGGTAGGAACATGTAAATGAGGAAAACGCTAGCACTTTGAGAAGCTCGGGGGTATCTCTCCTCTGTAGGCCAAGAATGAAGTAGGAAGCAGTAGCAGTGGGATAAGGAGATTCCAAAGCAACAGAGGGGCAGATCGCAGCACTTCAGAAACAAAGCATGTTACTGATACAGGCCTGACCCTCAGGGTATTAAGACAGCTAACAAAACACAGCATTCTGACTAGAAATAAAGGTAGGCATTTGACAACAGTATTTATATGTTCTTGCTAAAAGACTGGGTACAGCAAAGAAAGTAAAGTGGAAGAAATATCCAAAAAGAATCCCACTCTGAAATTCGATGCAACAACTGGATAGAAATTACAAAAATCGACAGTAAGAGACATGAGGAAAAATGAAAATAGCCCTTTCAGAAAAGGAGAGTTCCAGAAGAGAAAAGCAAGAATGAAGACACATTCGTGTTATAAAGAGATATAATAGCCAAGCCAGGGAGCGGCAGAAGAGCATCCACAACTTCACTAAAAGGCAGAACAAGGACCACAGAAAAAGACAAGGAAGGAATCAGAGAGGACCAGGGTGCAGCAGTGGTGCCCAGGACTAAGATGGGCACTCAGAGTCATTACCTTTCTGGCCAAAGTGACCACGACGATGACCACTGTGCCGATGACCCCCAGAACCGCAGCCAGGGCAACCAGAAACAGGACCTGCAAGCCGGGGCTCCACTCAGCCGCTAGATGGGGTGCAAAACAGAGGTAGTTGGTGGAGTGTAGAAGCAAAGAGCCGTCATTCCGGGGAAGGCCTGAGCACAAGTTCGCAGAGCAGACCACTTCTGCAGCCACAGGACTGTAGTCGGTAGGCCCAGCTGCTGGGTCAGCAGAGCGCCCCTGTAACCCACTGCAAACCCACACTTATCTCTGAAACCTCCGTGTGCCTCACACACCTGACACGCCACAAACAGCTTTCAATACTCCCTTCCTGAATTCAACAAAATTACTTCGAGTAAAAACTATGAACCAAAAATAACAGGAAAGAAAATATAACCTAAAAGTGAATATTTTCTTTTCTTTTCTTTTCTTTCAAAGATTTATTTAATTGTGCATTCAGAACTGGGGTACAGGCCAGAGGCTCAGGGGTGGTGAGAGTTTCCACCAGAGACAGAGTGGGGAGCAGAACAGGCAGATCGAGGAAGTACACTGCTGAGGGGAGCAGCGGGCGGGTCAGGAGAGGTCTGCCACGCCATGTGGTCACCTCCAGGGCAAGTGGAAATTGAACTCATGCGGAAGTGGCTTTAGCTTCCCATTAACCCGCTGCGCCACCAGGGAGGGCCAGTGAATATTTTCTTTTATGAAACTTTATAATCACATCCTAAGAAAAAAGCCTAATTAAATTTAAAATTAAAAATTTTTGAGACCCAACTCCTATGACAAAGGAAATAAATGCAAATGTAAGCAATTGGGGTTACCCCAAACTAAAAAACTCTATGCAGGAAAATAGAAGCAGATTAGTAAGACAGCCTACTGAATGGGAGAAAATATTTATATATCGCACAACTAACAAGAGATTAATACTCATAATATTTTTTTTTACAAATTTAACAACAGGGCCCTCCCTGGTGGCGCAGTGGCTTAAAGGGCAGCACCAAGAAGCTAAAGCCACTTCAACATGAGTTCGATCCCCGCCCTGGAGGTGACCCACATGGTGCAGCAGACCTTTCCTGACCCGCCCACTGCTCCCCTCAGCAGTGTACTCCATCAATCAGCCTCCTGTTCTGCTCCCCACTCTGTCTCTGGTGACTCCTCTCACTGCCCCTGCACCTCTGACCTGAACCCCAATTTTGTATGTATAAATAAATAAATCTTAAAAAAAAAAATTAACAACAACAAAGCAAAAAAAAAAACTCAGCTAATAAATGAGCAGAAGACCTGAACAGACAGTTCCAAAAGAGGAGCTACAGAAGGTCCATAGATACATGGAAACATATTATCACCATTCTTAATAAGGAGATGCAGGTCAAAACCACAATGTGGTGATGTCTATCGTCTCACACCCATTAGAAGGACATATATTTTAAAAGACCTCTGACAACGAGTGCTAGAGAGGATATGGAGAATGAGAAGCCCAAATACATCATTGGTGGGAATGTAAAATGGTGCAGTTCTTATGGAGAGTCAACTACACTTCTTAAATAACTAAAAATGGAAATACCATATGACCCAGAAATCCCACTCCTGGGCATCTCCCTGAAGAACATGAAACCATCAACTCAAAAATTATATGCTATAAAATGTTCCTGCGGCATTATTTACAACAGCTAAGACATGGAGGGAACACAAGTGCCCACCAACTAGATGAAGAAGAAGCGGGATACCCAGACAATAGAATTCTAGTCAGCCTTACAGAAAGCGTAAAAAGCTAGAGGGGATTATGTGTAGGAAAGCTAGTGTGAATGACAAAGGCAAATACTGGACAACTATACAGTAGACAGTCTAATAATGGAACATATAAAAGCTAGGGATATCACAGGCCCTCCCTGGTGGTGCAGCGGCCTGGAGTGCTGGACTACAAAGCCAAGCTGTGGCCGCTTCAGTATGAGTTTGATCCCCAGTCCTGGAGGTGACCCACATGGCTCAGCAAACCTCTCCTGACCTGCCCCCTGCTCCCCTCAGCAATGTACTTTGTGGCTCTGCCTGTTCTGCTCTCTACTCTGTTTCTGGTGAATCTTCTCGCGGCACCTGCATCTCTGGCCTGTACCCCATTTCTATATGCATAAATAAATAAATTTTTAAGAAAAATAAAACTGGGGATCACTAATCAAGTTAGGTTTCAGAGTCTAAGAAGAAAGGGGAAGGAACAAAGGGTCGGAGGGGTATAAGAAATGGTGGGGGAGGGAAAAGCATCTTTTACCTATAAATGCCATTGCTAACTTGGAAAAAGAAATGATAGTTTTTTAAAAATCTAGAGAATTTTTGGGCCCTCCCTGGTGGAACAGCCGGTTAAAGCACAGCACTAAGAAGCTAAAGCCACTTCCTCATGAGTTTGATCCCCGCCTGCCCCGGAGGAGATCCACATGCGTGGCACAGACATCTCCTGACCCGTCCGCTGCTCCCCTCAGCGGTGTACTTCGTTGACCTGCCTGTCAGTGCCCCACTCCGTCTCTGGTGAATCCTCTCACCCTCCACATCTCTGGCCTGTACCCCAGTTCTGTACGAATAAATAAATAAATAAAAATCTAGAGAAATTTTAAAGAAAACTTGACATTTTAAAGGATACATTCTACAAGTACTAATACTAGCTTTTTTTGGTAACACACAGAAAGCTTTTTACTAAAAATCCAGCTAGATTAAGTTCATTTTGGTTTGGAATATACCACTTAAGAAAAAAATTTTAATTATAATTAATGTACAAAAATTATTGAAAAGCCTATACCACTTACTCCTGTTAGGCTGCAAGACCCTGGAGGAAGTAGCATTATGAAATCTTAGCCTTTGTTGTTTACTCTACTCCTGACACATAACAAGGGCTCCATAAATATGAGTGAGTGAACTTCAGTTAAGACATAAAATGTTACTGGAAGGAGGAAGAGGCAGGAAGGCAGCTTTGAAGAGACGAGGCATATTTGACCCAGGGAGATGTGGGAGCACCCAGTGCCCAGATGTGTGCTCTGCCATAGCTGGAGGGGTCCCCGGCCATTTCAGCCCAGGCCTACTTCCTCCCCAGGGGCACCTTCCAGGTGTGGGGGGCACCCCTATTCCCTACAAAGTAGTCCTGCCCTGAGGACTCAGTTTGCTGCATTGATAGGGGAAGAGGGGATGAGCGAGAGGATATGTGGAAAGCAAAACTGTCTTAGAGAGCTCAGCAGCAGGGGATTCACAGTGTCCACAGAACCGGAGAGGGAGATAGTGATTCACCAGCTCCTGTGTGATGTCCCTTGGCTTATGTCAGAGAAAACCCAGAAATAGTGTTTGATAGGAAAGTTGAGGTAACTTTTCATCTTTTAAGTTTACACACATTTTACTGACTCATAAAACTTTATCTCCAACATAATTTGTGGCTGTAAATAGATGCTCTGAGGGTGTAGGTTAGTGGAAACAGAACACCTCTGTTAAAACCAACTATCCCACTTTGAGCCAGTCCACTCCTCAGCTTCAACTTCCATCAGTCAACTGGGAATCACCAGCACAGTTAACACTTAGTGCTGATCCAAGAGCATTTTCTTATAGGAAATAATTCAGTCCTATATTGAGGACCTCATAAGAATTTACATCTTGGAAATAAATAGAATAATTCTTGTCTTAGGGCAATAGCAGCACTAGGATTTGCCCCCAGGCTGTCTGACTTCAGAGTCTGACTTCTTAACCAGATATCTGCTCTACGGATCCTCTCCCACCTCCAGAGAAGAGGTTTAAGTGTCCAAGTGGATAATGTGCAGTTTGTTTTGGGAACTATGAGGCACCACACAACTGCAAACAGGTAGTATATATTTACAATTAGCACACACTGTGTTTTGTTTGTAACCAGCTATTGTCTTTTATAAACTGAGAGGTTAATTCTAATTTACCTCATCAAAACTGAACTAATAAACAATAATCCTTTCCCATGACCTTAACAACTGGTCTTCTTAGTAAATACACATAAGATGTATTTCTTATCCAAAGAGCAGTTCTGAATCCTGACTGCACATATGAACCCCCCCCCCCAGGGATGCTCGTAGCCTGTATCTCACCCCAGCTCTGCCCTGGAGAATTGGTTGGACATAGTCTGGGATGGGGTTCCAGCATCATGGTCTTTGAAAAGCTCCAGGTGACTGGAAAGTGGCCAGTGTTGAGAAGCTGCACTGTAGCATGTTTGGCAAGAACACACTTTTCTATCCCAGCAGATAAGCACCACCAGCCACTCTGCTCAGGAGGGCCTACCTGAGTTCTGCAGGACTTGCAGAAAGAGTCTCTCTTTGTAAATCCCTTCAGGGTAGATATAATAAGTGCAGAAGTATTCCCCCGTGTCATTCGTGGTCAGCGATTGTAGAACAAGTTCCAGATTGGTGCCCGGAGTCACTCTGCCCATGAAGGGGGGGTTAACATGCCACCCCCAGTCAGCATGATAAATGGCCAGAAGTTGCTCCTGATTCTCCCAGTTGACCTGAACTACATTGGCAGTGGTAGAAGAAAGGTGACATTGTAAGGTGACAGAGCTGCCTTCCTCTGCAGAAATGTACCCCTGTGCCACAGCTCCTAGGGAAGAGAAAACATGCATGAGTGTCAGGCCAAAGTCTGATCTTCAACCTCACAGAAACTTAGGGGCTGGGAGGCCAGAGCTGACTTTTGGAATGACAGTCTCTACAGCACCCCATCCTGCCCCCCACATAGACTAACTCCCATGACATTTAGCACCTTTGCCTCCACTTTCACTCCCTCTCTCCCTTCTGCTGATAGAATACTTTGTGAAGGGCTCATTGATTATTTTCATCTGTTTTCTTTGTCTCCCACCTAAAATATAAGCCCTTGTCAGACACCACTTCTGTTTTAATTGTAATTTCCAGTATCCAAGTTCTGCATTGGATATATTATCCTTTAAAATAAAACCTGCTGTTAGGTTGACTGGAAAAATCTTCAGGAAAGCCAAAATATCCAAAGGAAAGAAGTCTAAGAGACAAACTCTGTTTCTCCCAGGCAAAAACACCTACCTCAGCATCTGTATCCACCAGCACACTTAAGTCACCTCTTCATTCTCTGGTGCTTAAAAAAAATCTATATATACTGCATGTATACACGTGTGTGCCTCCAACATTTGTTTATAATTTTTAATGGAAGGAAGTAAGTTTAACATACATTCAATATATAATGGTAGAATCTGTGAAGAAGACATTTTTGATTCATGAAAAATGTACTGTGTTTTTCTAGAAAGTTCCCCAGACCAGAAGAAAGACAGCGCAAGAGTGAACTGTATAAGTAAATCAACTCCTTTGTCTTAGTCCCTTTCTCTCCCTGAGCATCCAGGTTGGCATCCCTAAAGCCAAGTCCTTTATCTGCTGCCACAAACAAAACTGTTCCTCCTTCTCTGAGACTGCCTTTTCTCACAGGAGGGGGTACAAGACTCTGAAAACAGCATTTCCTTCTCACCAACAGAGAGCTTTTCATGCCCAGCCACCCTGCCTATGTCTTCCCCACCCTCCTCCTTGCCTTCCCCTCTTTCTGCAGCTCCAGACATTACCTGAATCAGTGAGGGAGGCCTGCCTCAGTCCTGGAGCCCAGAGCAAGAGGAAGAAGGGGACCAACAGAAAGTGCATGTGGCCACTTCTGTCTCTGAAACTGGCCAGCTGCTGATGGGAGGGTAAAACTGAGCCTGTGAGGAAAGAGGGACTTGGAAAAACTGAGCACAGCAAAAACAATGTCAAAGTCAGATAAAACTATCAACAAGTACACAAATTGCGTAGTGTGAGCCACAAAAAAAGGCCATGAAGGAAACACACTAAAAAATAAACAAAAATGTGGTTAGAGTGCACTGGTCTTCGGGTTCGTCTTACTCAATCTACTGATTTTAAATTCTGCCTGAATGTACTTTCTTAAAGGAGCCTTCATCTAACCACTGATAGGCTTATTAGATATGTATAAAAGGATCTGTGTAATGCCCAAAATTCCGAAGAACTTGCTACCAATGGGGTTAGAAAAACCGGTTTTCTCACGTATGGGCCAAGCACTGTACCTGAAATCTAAAGAACTAATGAACAAGAGACATTTATTTGGGGGACAAGCCAGGGTCTCAGACAGCAAATTTCCTTGAAGCCTCCACTTGAATCTTATTTCTTGTGCTTTATGTTTGTGAGCTAAGACTTTCCTGAATTCTGACTTAGTCTTTCTGATCCAAGAGAATCAGAGGAGATCAGAAGAGTGAGTTTTCTGTTTCATGGGAGTCCATGAGACCAGGGAATGCAGAGAAGGGTAGATTCCAGTGGGTGACCCTGAAAGGGATTGGTTGATACTTGTCTGGAGGTCCAGCTCATCACCGGGCCCTGCTGTTGACCATCCTTCCTTCCACTTTCCCTCCCTCCCTCCCTTCTTTTTTTGGTAAGTCCCCAGGTGCTAACAAAGCATGAGACTCAGCACCAAAACTTTAGAGACATGATGGTGATTTCTCCTCTGCAGGATGTTCCATTTCAAACCAGTTTCCTTCCCCCTTGGGTTCTGTACGTTCCCAACTGTACCCCCATGAGCCATGCGTCTGTGTTTCTCTGGTGGGTGTGGTGAGAAACCATAGAGGCTGGACCTGTCTATGGGAACTCCAAAGAAACTGAGCTCTAAAAAATAGGTAAGGGCCCTCCCTGGTGGTGCAGTGGGTTAAAGCACAAAACTTAGAAGCAAAAGCCACTTCAGAGTGAATTCAATCCCGACCCTGGAGGGGCAGACCTCTCCTGACCCACACACTGCTCCCCTCAGCAGTGTCCTTCATCGATCTGCCTATTCTGCTCCCCACTCTGTCTCTGGTGAATCCTCTCTCTGCCCCTGCACCTCTGGCCTGTACCCCAGCTCTGTATGCATAAATAAATCTTTAATATATATATATATATTTATATATATAGTTAAAGAATTATTCTATTTATTTCCAAGCAGTCAGTTCAAAGAGGAACACAGTCAAGTTTATTTTGATCACTGGTGTCTCCAGGGTAATGATTAATAGACAAGCCTTTAAGAAATGGTGGGTACAAGCAAAGCTCAGTAACTCAATTGTGAGGAGCAGTTCCCAGGGCCACCCTAAGACTTTGGGGCCAGTCAGCAGTTTCTGCATCACAGAGTGAACTTCTGTGTTCAGTCAGAAGCTGACTCACATTTCCACTTAAAAGTTCGAAAAGGAATCACCCAGAAGATTTGAATAGCACTGCTCCAAAGGAGACCTACAGATGGCCAACAGGAACATGAAAAAGTGCTCCTCATCACTTAACATCAAAGAAATGCAAATCAAAACCACAGTGAGATACCATCTCACACCTGCAAGAATGGTCCATATCAGCAAATCAGACACCAATGTTGCCCAAGATCTGGAGGAAAAGGAATCCTTGTACACTGTTAATGGGAATGTAAACTGTCCTGATGGAAAACAGTATGGATATTTCTCAAAATATTAAAAATAGATCCACCATACAAATCTAGCAATTCCACTCATAGGTATCTACCCAAAGAATACCAAAGAATACAAAATCACAAATTTAAATGGATTTATACACTCCTTCATTCACAGTACCTTTAGCCAAATTATGGAAGCCATGTAAGTGCCCAAGGACAGATAATAGAGAGGGTGTAAATACACACACACACACACACACACAGGAATATTATTCAACTAGGAAGAGGATGAAATCTTACAATTTGCAGCAACATGGTGGAGCTGGAGGTAATTATGCTAAGGGAAATAAGTCAGAAAAGAGAAAGACAAATACCACATGATTTCACTTTTACATGGAATATAAAGAAACAAAACAAAGGAGCAGACAATACCAAGATTTGGGATCCAACTGTAAAACCTAAGGGTTGGGGAACCAAAGGTAGAGGGGACCAAATGAACTGTGGTGGAGGAAGATTGGTATTTTGTTGGTGTAAATATTGTGGTAACATAGACTTGAAGAAATGTGAACCTATATGCCAAAATACAACATGCTGTTGTAAACAAATGTTGCCTCAATAAAAAAATGAGACAGAGAGAGATGCCACCATTTTTTTCTTCCTTACATTTGGAGCTATGGGCTATACATATCTGGTTAGCCCTACAGAGCTGGGTAGGTGGGGGTGTTGGGAAAGGAACTCGCTTGCATAAAAAGAGGGAAGAAGTGCTGGTCTAGAATTCAAAACCTCCCCCAGACCCATCAAGATTTTTCACAAGCCAGCATTCCCCTCACCCTGCAATCCTCAAATGAATCCACATCCTGTTCCACTGGCTCTAGGTGAAAACCTGACAGCAATCACAGAACTGCATGAAGGGGAAGAAGAAGGTGATATTTTCCAAAAGGTCCATGACTTATAAACAGGAAGCATGACCTAGGGTTTTCTCAGGGCACAGACCAATCTCTCAGTAGTGTCTTTGAGATTTAGCATCTCCAAAATCTTCTCTGAGCCACCACTGTGGCTCAGAAGTGGTGAAGGAGGAGTGGGGATATCATAATTGTCTTTTTCCTTCTCTTCCAAGCCTGAAAAGAGAACATCCTTGAGCTGTATCAGTCAGGAGTGTCCACTCTTCTGCCTCATGGCCAGCACCTCCTGCTGGCAGATCATGTTGTGACTAAGAGGAGCTTACTCTCCTACAGGTCCACAGTGGACAGGTGGAGCTGGTAAAGTGGTGCTTGGAAGAGTCTGCCCTATGTCCACTCTCCCCCCCTGCCATTTGCAATAACTAAGCTACTTCACAGCCCAGCCATCTGATTCATGAGTTGATTGATGCAAAACCTCTCTCTTAGAGAGAGCTGCCTTGAGACACCAAAGTCTCAACATGGAGGTCCATGACATGACCTCCAACACTGTATTGAGTCTATGAGCTATACAACGTGCTGACTGAAGCTGATATAGCAAATGCAAATTTGGAGAATTTGGGGTGGAATTGATGACTATTATAAGCCCAAGTTCCCTCCCTTCCATGAGAGGACTCAGAAGACCTGCTCACAAAGTTTGCCAAGGAGTTCAGTGGACTATGGGAAATTTCCTTTGCATTTCCAGCTGTGAAAACAGGACACACACTCCCAGGAGAGGTAGACTGCAGAGTCAGAAAAATCTTTGAGAAGTCACTGATCTCTCAGTTTAGCCTCTCTTCACAGCCCTTGCTCCAAACAACATCACTCCCATCTTTCCCATGGGCCAGCCGAGATGAACTACCCCTATTTCTCCTGGGAAATGTGTCCTCTACCTCTGGAAACTTACTTCCTCCTTCCTAATACTTGGATCCCTCAACATCCAGAATACGATTGAGGTAGACGTACAGATATATGAATGTATCATCCAAAATCATAACAATCATCCAGAGCAATCTTTTCGGGACAAAAGGAATGTTAGGCCTAAAGATTCACAAGGAGAGTATAACAAACCTTTGGAGAACATATGATTTTTTTTTTTTAGATTTATTTAATTATGCATACAGAACTGGGTATAGGCCAGAGATGCGGGGGAGGGGGAGTGAGAGGGTTCACCAGAGACAGAATGGGGTGCAGAACAAACAGATGTACCAAAGTACACTTCTGAGGGGTGTAGCAGGTGGGTCAGGAGAGGTCTGCCACACCATGTGGGTCACCTCCTTGGCTGGGGATCCAACTTGTGCTGCAGTGGCTCCGATAGCTTCATAGTGTTGTGCTTTAACCCCTTGTGCCACCAGGAAGGGCCCGAACATATGATTTCAACGTCACTCAAAATATAAAGAGCATGGTCCTCCCTGGTGGCACAGCAGGTTAAAGCACAGCACTGTGAAGCTGGCCTCTACTTCTGTGCGAGTTTGATCCCCACCACTGAGAGGTGATTCCCATGGTGCTGCAGAGCTCTCCTGCCTCACCTGCTGCTCCCCTCAGCAGTGTACCTCTGTTGATCTGCCTGTCCTGCAACCCACTCTGTCTCTGGTAAATCCTCTCACCATCCCTGCACCTTTGGCCAGTCCTGTGAAGTAAATTTAAAATCAATATGAAATGATTAAGATTGCACACAAAATAGGAAGCCCGATCTTAATCTCACAAATACTTGAGATAAAAACAACTAAATCAAGTATTATTATACAGACCCTGTAGTATATTGAGCAAAATATATAATGATCTTATTCTAAGATCAAAGAAAGATTTACCAGAATATTTATTGATATTAAATACTCGTGCTACATAGAAAAGCAAATGGTCATTTCCTATGATGCTGAGAAGACATAAGGCAAAATTCAATCCATATGACTTGTTAAAAAACACTTTCTAAAACAGTAATTATAAATATTTTAGTTATTTTATTTTAATTAAATAACTGGCATTTAATATTTAATAATAATTTAACAAAATACTATGTATAATAATATTAACATTTTATTCAATAAATATGTGACATAATTTACACACACATACCCATCTTACAACCAACATCTATTTTGATGGGAAATCACTACAGATATCCCCACTAAAGTCTGAAATCTATCCACTCTAAGGACCACATCATCACTATTGCCTTGACAAGTACCCTTATCAGTATAACTTATCTCAACTAAGTTAGTCATACAAGTTAAAAATAAGAGCATGAAATTATCACTAATTATCTATTATTACATATGTGGAAGTCAAGAGCGTCAAGGGGGAAAGTACCATAAATAGAATTCTGTAAAACTGGCAGAAGATAAGATTA